AGGCGGGGTACAAATAAATTATTATTATTATTATTAAAAAATCCAAAAGCATTTCAGTTCAATATCATGAAATGGCTTTTATTTTCCTAATAAATGGTTTTGGAGTTCCCAGCTCAGAATTTTCTTAGCTTTGATTTGAAATTAGTGTGTACAGGCTATAAGTGATGTAGAAATATAAATTAATATCTCTTTTTTTAAAATACAGATTGATTTTTATTGGTTTTTTAACATATATAAATATAGATTGATACTTACTGGTTTAACACATATAAACGATTTCACAACAAAATAAACAACATACAGGAAAAGCAGAATAAAAGGGGGAAAGCAAAAGAAATAAGATAAAAGAAAAAGTTATACATACATAGAATATACAGCTGCCCCTCTGTTTTCACAGACTTCAAGTCCACGTTCCTCGCCCGTTCAATGGCAGCAAATGGAGGGGGACAAAATGGAGCACGTGCCCATGGGTGCGCACCGCCATTCAAGCCTATAAGGCTTGAATATTTGTGATTTTCCATTTTCATGGGGGGGGGGTCCAGAACAGATCCCCCGTGAAAACAGGGGTGACTAAACTACTCTCCACTAAATTAACATTACACTACAGCACATTTCTAAAACACTAACCTATTACAGTAAGTACAACCTCACTAAACACTGACTAACAGACACAAATGAACTCTGCCCCTAAACTGTAATGAAAAGATAAAAGACCCAGTTAATAAAACAAAACATGCTATTCTACCATTACAGATTTAACTAAGTTCTACTTGCTAGAATTACTAATAATCATAACCACAAATGATTACATCTTTAGAATTCTTATAGCACAAAACATCAGTTTCTAAACTTCCATAATGTCTTCAATTGGTTTATCTTTTTAAAATCCCCATCAGTTTGGCAACTTGAGCAAATTCCAAATTGGGTGTCATTTATTTATGTGTTATCCTCTTATCATTTTTTAGATCGCCTCTGAAAAAGGACTAAAGAGCATGATGGAAAAATACAGTTACCTGGACCTAGATGGGGCAGGCTCAGAGGTCCGTGGCTCTCCATACTACGATAGAGTGTTGCCATTGCCACAATTTTCCGCCGGTGGTTGCACAGCTTGGTCATGTCCTCATCCCCCTTGGTGCCTTCGCTTCCCATCACCATGGCTGTTGGGTCGAAGTTGAAAACCTGAGTGTAATCAGGAAAGATGGAAAAACTGAGCATTTGCCCTTCTCAGACCTGGGTGATGAAAGAGATGGGTTTTGGAGTTGACATTTTTCCAATCTTGAGTTCAAAATAAGGTTGCAGTTGAATGTCAGAGGTGAAGAACTATTTCTTCATCTTCCCCACTAAGCCATACAAGCCGTTATGGCAAAGGCAGACCAACTCTATGTTTGGTTTTCATGAGGAAGCGCCACTGATTTCAATGGGAGTAACTTTCACCAAGTATACACAAACTACATAATCCTAAGGCAGAACCTCCCATCAAGGCTTCCTGAACTGCTGCTGCTATTTATTTATTTTAGATTATATACTGTTTTGTCCAAATAACATTCAGTTCTAAAAATAATACATAAACAAATTAATAACTAATCAGAGCAAGAAACATATTTTGTTTCCCATACTTTCTTTGCAAAACTCTGAACCTGAAAAGTCAGACTTTCTTTCAGCATTTTTCTTTCTTTCTGAAAAATGCCTGAGCTCAGATTTTTGGCGTGAGGAAGTTCTGGCTTGCATTAAGAACTGCCAGATGAATATAATGACACGGATGGTTTCATCAAAGATAGTATCCTTAACGGATTCCAGGTGCCATAGGGGGCTGACATCCCCCAAAGGGAAAATCTCCAAGTGTGCTGTAGTACAAATCCCATCATCCCCAGCTAGCATGCTAGCTGAATGCAACAGGAACTATATTCCAATACACACAGAGGGCACTCAGCTGAGAGAGACTGGAATAGGAGGAAGCATTTTCTCTTAAAGTATGTTGGGTCAAAGCCAAATGGTGCTTCTGTGTATTTATTTATGTATTATATTTTAATCCCACTCTTCCTCTGACGAGCCCACAGGTAAACACACATGGAACTTACCCATGTTATCTGTGCAGAGACCCTGTGAGGGAGGTGAGGCTGAGATTGTGACTGACCCAAGGCCAGTCCACAAGATCCACAACTGAAAAATAACCTCGATTTCACATATACACTGATGGGATTTTAGGTGTTAGTGAGCGAGCAAAAAATAATATCTTGTGCTTCGCATTCACAATGAGAATGTCTATTTAGTACATAAAAGGCAAAATGCCATGTTTGAAATAATTATAAAAAGAACTAAAATGAAAACTGTCCATTGTTATTGCTGTGCAATGATGCGAGCCACACATGGAATATTTTGTACAGTTCTCTTCACCAGACGTTGTCAAAAATGACACTGTCCAGGTGCAGAAACTGACAACTGAAAGGGCCAAAGGCTTAGAGCAAGTTCTCCTCTACCACATTTGAGATTATTTAGTTAAGAGAAAAGGTGAGTAAGAGGAGACATGAAAGGTGTATATAAAATTAAATACATTGTGGAAAAAATGAATCAGGAGCTTTTTCCTCCCTTATAATTCTAGACACACACACACACAGTGTCATCCACTGAAGCTGATTTCAAGACATGGAAGTATTTCTATACACAATGCATATTTAAAACCATGGAATGCACTATTGGTCGTTATATGTCTTTAAATCAACTCTTTGAGTTAATGCAACCCTTCCATAAAATTTTCTTTGTAAGATAGTAATTGCATGCATTACCACACAACATACGGACAGTCGCCAATATGGACACTTTGAAAAAGAATTATGACAAATTCAAGTTGGAGAACAGTTACTAGTTATGGCTATGCATTACCTCCTAGTACCAGGGGGATTATGCCTTTGAATACCAATTGCTGGTGATCAGGGTGGTGAAACTCCTACTGCCTGCATGTCTTTGCTGCAAGATTCCCATTGGCGCATCTGTGTGGCTACTGTGAGCACAGAAAAGTGGAATGGAGAGGCCTTTGGTCTGACCTATCAAAGCTCTTCTTCTGATTTCCTAGATTCTGCTGCTAATGAACTTCACTGGTACGATACAGATGCAGAACAGTCCTAGGTATGTCTATGAATGGGAGCAGGAAAAGCCTTTGGCCCTCCATGTGCTGTGAACTTCAGCTCCCACAAGCCCCAACTAGCATGGTTAATGCTAAGGTATTGAGAGGTTTGAAGTGCAAAACATCTACAAGGATGAAGGTTTCCTACTCCATTGTAGGATGCATTTTTGAGTCATATGGAGTGATGGCCAGTCCAGTCATGGCAGGGTGCATGAAAGGAATCTGCACTGAGAAACCTCTTACTTTCTACAGAATTCTCTGCAACATACCATTGTGTGTGTGTCCTTGTCAAGCAGTTATAAGGCTCCCTAAAGGTGGAGTGGTTGAAGCCACTGCTCTGAGCAGAACTAAAAATATGTTGGTAGCAGAAAAGAGTTTACAGTGCTGATGAACTGCACACTCTGACTCCATCTAAGCCACACACACATGTTCCTTTCCAAAATAGCTGCTAATGGCTGGTGCAGTGAACAAGCCCTGTTCATGGATCTAACATTCTGTTCTTCAAATTAAAGGGCAGCATTTGGCAGAACTTTAAAATCAAGGCTTTTTCTAGCCTTGGAATAAGAGCTGGTCTGCCCCTTTCAAATCATTCCAAGCCCATCCTTTTCCCTCTTGGTAGAAAACTTTTTGTTGCATGGATTTTGTGCAAACTGAATTCTGCATCATTGTATGATTGTACAAATTAAGCTAGTAGACCTCACTTCTTTTATTTTTCCTAATTTATTCTCAAAATTGGGCAGAAAATCTTCAGACGTTTTGCATATTTCATTCCAGTTTTGCTCATAAGGATAGGGAGCAAAAGAAATCATACTAAACACCAAAGCAATATCCACAAATCACTAGAAATGTTATCTGCCACCCTTCCATATTCTGAGAGTCCATCACACATTGGCCTAACATCCAACCATGTATTTGTAACCATGAATGTTAAAAAATTGATGAGAATGGCGAGAGCTAAGATTTCCAGAAAGTGGAGCATAGTTTATTGTGGCACCAGAGTTCTCTGACAGAGAAGGCTAAATGTCTCACAATATGACAGTTCCCAGAATTCCCTAGCATTGAGACAGGGCAGTTTTAAACCATAGAGTTCCCATATCTAAGCATCCCAGTAACATGCTCATCTAGTCTTTTAAAAAAAACCTTCCATGTCAAGAGGTTCAAAGACATTGTAGACTACTACGGGCTGAGCTGCTTATCCTGAAAAGAACATACATCTCTGTGTCCAACCTTCCAATTCCACAAAGGTGTAAGAGAACCAGGGTTTGCAAGGATAAAGGGCCAGAATTGGTTGATTAGAAATAAAACCATGACAACATATGCCACTTTGCTTGAGCACTGGTATTCTGGAACCTTAGCTGGAGGTCTGTTAGTAATGGGGGTTGGACAGAACTCAGCTACTGGGAACTATCCCAGTTGCAATGAAAAGACTGTCATAATGACCTGATCTTCCATAAGCAACAACGGGCCATTAGTTGGTCATGTTTGCAAGTGAATTTGGGGAGCTATTCAAAGAAGTAACTTTTCTTAACTCTGGTCTGGATTTGACTCAACCTCACAATCTCTTATCTCTTTGACAGCTTCTTATTTATGTGAAAGTTATCAATATATTTGATATACTTCCACATTTTGGTTTACAAAATGGCAAAACCCCTCAAAGCTGTGGAAAAAACCCCACCCATTACACAAGGGATGCAGCCTCAGTGAATTTCTTGTTTTTTTGAGAGGCAAAATGGGAGAGAGGATGGAAAGTGGGCTCACTGCAAGTCTAGGGTCCTCACCAATACTAATAGAAAGAAAGAAACTCTTCTAGAACATGGCCACACAGCCCAAAAAAACCCACAAAAAACCTAATTTTTGACACTCTCTGCAACCAAGGGGAAAAGCTATAGCTCAGTGGCAGAGTGTCTGCTTTGCATGCAAGAGGTCCTGTGTTCAATCCCCATTCATTTTATTTATTTATTTCATGTGTATGCCACCTTTCTCCCAGAAGGGATCCATCTCCAGGTAGGGACAAAAAAGATGCCATTCTGAAAACTTAACAGAGCTGCTGATGGATCAGTTTCTATTTCTCCACTCTCTGCCTGTTTTCCTCCACTTGTAGAGATTCCTACTGCTTGGGCAAAATGTGACAACCTCTAGCCGAGAGTCAAATGTCAAAGCCTTGTACCTTATGCACGTTGAGGGGACACTCCAGGCCACACTTGCAAGTGCCGTCCGCCAGCAGGTATGCACGAGTCTGCTCCAACGAAGCCAGGCTTGTGCCACTAGGACTAAGAGAAAGAAGGGAGGGAGCATTAGGGGTATCAACACTGAGGAAGAAGGGACGGCCAAGGATGGGTCTGGGCAGGAGGGCGCATGCCTTACCTGATATAGCGCACTCCACCTTCCTCCACCCTGCGCTGCCAGCCCACAGGCACAGGTGTGACTGCTGGGCACCCACCTCGATCCACACCAGAGCAATCATCACCGCCATTCATTGTGCTCCCTCAGCGCTTGGGCACCTAAAAGAAACCATGGTCATTGAGATGGATGACACATCAACAGTACCTGGACTAAGGATGGGGCAGCCATGCCAATATTAGCATGTGCAGGGGGGGGAGGAAGGGCATGTAACCATGAAACAGGATCTCAGGACAAATCTAAGTTGGGAATTGTGTGGCCTAGTTGTCAAGGCCAGACATTTGTTGTGTGGTTTCAGTCCACAGCTACCAACATAAACTGGACATATGACAGGTTTCACTGATAGCTACCCTCCAAATTCAGGTATTTGATATTGTGCCCTTGCCTCAGCACCTCCTAACTAGCAGGTAGCCATTTAGGGAAAATGAACAGCCAGCCCCTGAGTCTTTGTTAGCCTAGAAAGGTAAGATCAGATCCAGGAGAGGGAGAGGCTCTATGACTGTGGTAAGGGTTATTATTAGCTAAGCTAGGAAGAGAGTGGCTTATAGCCAAGCTACAAACCAGTAAAATCACAATACAATCCTTCTGGGACGGTACCATTTCAGAATGCTGGGGGCGTGGGGACGTGAGAGAATAGTTTTATTTGTACTGAAATATGTCTTTTGTGTTTTGTTTTTGTTTTAAACAAGAAGGCATTAAGAAGGGAGAAAAAAATTCACCTCATTTCCCTGACTAGCACCTACAGTATGAAGTGGTACAGTCCTCAAAGAGCTTGGGTCAACAAGGTGACCACATTTTAGGATGGGGAAAGAAAGAGGATTGCCAGTTGGCATAATTAAACAGCAATGGAACAGAATGCCAAAAGACCAGAGATGATAGGATAAGAGGAAGAAGAAAGAAACAGACATAGCACCATAGCAAGAATTGAGGCTTCGAAAGAACCAGGACTAGTAGGGAGTCTGATGTGCATCAGTGACACAGACTCTGGCTTTCTCCAAATTCCCGTTCGCCATCTCACCCCCCTTCCCCCCCATATGCACTGGGCAGCTCTGACCTACTAAACTCTATCAGGAGGGAGCCATGAAACGGCAAACAGCTGGGCTGATCCTTTAATCCCAGCTCTGCTCTGCTGATGGCTCCTACCTGCTCATGGCTGCAAACCTCTCGGCAGGCGGCGTTAAGGGTGGGCACACTCCCTCCGGGCACTCATAATCCAGCAGCCTTTCTTCTGGGGTCCAAGCCAGCGAGGTTACACCCACTCAGCAGCCACATTAGCCTATACCTGGAACTGAAGGAAGGAAGGTATTATGCCATGGCTAAAGTGGGGAAGGGGAGAGGAAAGAGAGATATGGAGATTCCCCATGTTGGTGTATGTTTTCAAGTTATTTCTGATTTATGACAACCTGAAGGAAATGTATTACAGGGGTTTCTTGGCAGGTTTTGTTCAGAGGGTGTTTGCCACTGCTATCCACTAAGGCTGAGAGAGTATGACTTGCCAAGATCACCCAGTGACTTTCCATGGCCAAGCAGGGTTTTAAATCCTTGTCTCCCAGAATTCTAGTCCAACACTTAAACCACTACTCCACTTTTGCTTGATTCCCTATGATGTCTTCAAAAAAGATCTATCTGGGACAAACAATTCTAGGAGTATGATAAAAGCATTCAGCGATACCATCAGCTCTTCTCCAGGTTAGAAAAAAATCTCATTCACTTGAAAATGAAACATGCTTTATTATTTTCCGTTGCAGATGGGAGCCAAGTGACATGTCAGGCGTATGCACAAACATTACACACTTGTTCTCCTCATTAATCACTGGGGGGGGGGGAGGGAATGGCCAACCCATGGCCTTGGATTTCCAATCGCTAAAGTGGATTAGGGGAGCCAGTGTAGCTTAGTGGTTTGAGTGTTGGACTATGACTCCAGAAACAAGGGTTCAATTCCAAGCTTGATCATGAAAACCTATTGGGTAACCTTAAGTGACTCACACTCTCTCAGTCTGAGGTGAAGGCAATGGTTTAGAGTCCTTCACCTCAGGGCAAACCCCCTCTGAAGAAACCTGCCAAGAAAATCTCATACTAAATTGGCCTTAGGGTCTATGTAAGTCAGAAAGAACTTGAAGAAACACAACAACAATAAAGGTGGATTAGAATCACCTCCTCATCCACAAATTTGGGGCAAAGTGTGTCCCTTTGCCATTCAACCTTGCTGCCCAAAAGAGTATGACGGGGAAAATGAATGCCTGTGAAACCATGGAAAATGGATGGCAAACAGGGAGGTCATATTAAGACATATTTCACCCTCCACTTCCAACTTCCTAGTCTACATATTCAGCAGAATCAAGTGACAGACTCCTTCACTGAGAGAAAAGGCAACAGTACCAGAGGATAAACATACAATTTTTGCATTGCTTGCCTATGAAAACATCTCCTTGCAAAAACAAAACAAAAAATGAGAAAATTTGGAGGGAAATGTTTTAACCCAGCTTGCACCCTCTTGAGCTAGCTTTCTACCTGCAGGAAAGTGTTAATGTTGTGCAACATTCTCATATGAGATTCAATGCCTGCAATATGAAGTACTACAAGCCCATTTTGTCACCTCAGTTTCATACCACCCCCTTCTACTACAAATGTAGATCGGGACAACACCTGCAAAGTTACGGGACTGTAATTCAGATGTTGGATGGAATACATAGAAGAATTACACAAATGCGATGACAAAATGAAGGAGACATGGAACAAAGAGCCATATGAAAATGAACCTCAAATTCTAAAAAGCGAGGTGGAAACTGCAATAAGAGAAATAGCAAAAAAACAAATCACCAGGAACAGATGATATTCCAGTTGAACTGCTGCAATCCACATTGACAGAGTCAACTCCAGTACTAACCAACATATGTCAACAGATATGGAAAATAAGACGATGGCCAACAGACTGGAAGCGATCAATATACATCCCCATCCACAAAAAGGGAGACATAAGTGACTGCAGCAACTATAGGACCACAGCACTGATCTCCCACATAAGCAAAATCATGCTCAAAATTCTGCAATATAGACTCCAACCATACATGGAGAGAGAAATCCCAGAGGTTCAAGCAGGGTTCAGGAAAGGAAGAGGCACTAGGGATCACAATGCAAACATACGATGGCTAATGGAGCATAGCAGGGAGTGCCAAAAGAAAATCAGCATGTGCTTAATAGACTATAGCAAAGCTTTTGACTGCATAGACCATGAAAAGCTATGGGATGCCCTTAAAGACATGGGAGTGCCAACACATCTAACAGTCCTGATGAGGAATCTGTACTCAGGACAAGAGGCTACTGTCAGAACAGAACAAGAGAAAGAGAATGGTTCCCAATTGGCAAAGGAGTCAGACAAAGGCTGCATCTTGTCAACTTATATGCAGAACATATTATAAGAAAAGCAGGTTTGGGCACAGAAGAACAGAGGAGTGAAAATAGGTGATAGGAATATCAAGAATGTAAGATATGCAGATGACACCATAGTACTAGCAGAAAACCTCACAGACCTGGAACACCTACTAAGGAAAATCAAAGAAAGTGCGAAGGCAGGCTTAACGTTGAACATGAAAACAAAAATAATGATCACTGAGGACCTTCACAGGTCCAAACAATGAAGAAATAGAAATAGTAAAAGAATTCTCATACCTAGGATCAAACATTGATAGAAATGGGGACTGCAGTCAGGAAATCAGAAGAAGATTAAGAATGAGGAGAGTGACTATGAAAGAACTAGAAAAGATTCTAAAATGCAAAGATATACAACTCAGCACAAAAGTTAGAATCATACAAGGCATTGTATTCCCTATTACCATGTATGAACATGAGAGCTGGACAGTTAAGAAAGATATAGGAAGAAAATCATTGCATTTGAGATAATGTGGTGCTGGAGAAGAGTGCTGAGGATCCCATGGACAGCCAAAAGGACAAACAAATATGTCCTAGAGCAGATCAAGCCAGAAACCTCCCTGGAAGCCAAGATGACCCAACTGAGGCTGTTGTACTTTGGACACACGATGAGGAGAGAGGACTCTTTGGGAAATGCAATAATGGTGAGAAAGGTGGAGGGAAGTAGGAAGAAAGGAAGGCCACATGCTGGATGGATGGACTCTGTTAAGGATGTTATGGTATGGGGTTGCAGGAATTAAGCAGAGGAGTGGAGGACAGAGGGTCTTGGAGATGTCTCATCCATAGAGTCACCATGAGATCGACTCAAGGGCAGTTGACAACAAATTTAGAAGTTGTTCCTACTGATTTGGATGAGCCTTCCTTTCACTATAGCAGGGGTAGGCAACCTTTTCCCTTTAAGAGCCGAGGGACTTCAGCTCCCAGAATCCCAGGAGCTATTGGCCAACATGGGACTATTGACCAACATGGCTGAGGCTTCTGGGAGTTGAAGTCCCTCGGCCCTTAAAGGGGAAAGGTTGCCTACCCCTGCACTATAGGGTTTCTTGCAATGAGTAGCCAATACTATTACTACTACTTGATCAACAGATAAGGTTTCTGCTATGACTATATCTCTGTTGCAAGACACTGCCCCTTTTGGTTTTCCATGCTTTCTCATGCAGATGTGAAAAGGCACAGAGGAGCCATTATTCGCAAAAGAGTGGTAACACAAAGGTAAACACAAAGGTAAAATGCTGGTACAGACTTCTCCCACACAGAACCTGCTTTTTCAAGGATGTGTGTGTTCTTGATTTATCTCGTGCTTCTGGGCTGGGTATACAACCCCCCACCACACCCAATAGAATAAGTTATGTGTAAGCATGCTTGGCTCATGGTCAGGAGCAAAAGGTTTATAGAGAATGAGTGACCAAAAAAGATCCTGTAGCACTTTTGAGGCTAACTGAAAGAAAGAAATTGGCAGCATGAGCCTTCGTAGACTAAAGTCTACTTCCTCTGAAATTGAGAATTAGAGCCCATGAAAATTCAATGGGCTACTGACCTATCTGCCCACTCAAACTTTTTAGCCTGTATAGGAGAAATGTGTAGCCTTCCAAATGTTGTTGAGCTGTATTCTACTATTCCCTCTATTGGAAATTTGGATGGAACAGATGTCCAACAACATCTGGAGAGCCACATATTCCCCAGTCCTGGCATATATTCTACTAAATGTTCCTAGTATGATTAGCTAGAGGTGATTCTTATTCACCCAGGACAATTTGGGGAATGATTTAGAAACCTGGAGTGTTGATTAGGAAACCTACACCCATCAAACCAGCCCTGGATTAGATGCTGTACAACAGGTCATATGCAACCACACTGCAGTCATAAAAACTTTAGAGCAAGTGGCAATCACCACTATGGTTGCCAGTTGGCTAAAAGAAGCAAAACAAAAACCAGCTTGACATGCTCTGATACTTTTAATAGTAGTATCCATGCTCTCCTGGGAAAGTTTTTCACAACATGGACATGAACCTTATCACTCAATAATGCTGCACATCAGGAGACTGTAAAATTTACAGGAATGAAGTTAGTTAAAAAAAATGGGTGTTCTCTACCTAGAACTTCATCACAGGTCTGCACACCTGCACTCAAAAAATCCAGAAAAAATATACCAGTAAAGGGTTAACAGAGTCACTACAACATTCATAATTGGCTCCACCTATTCCACTCCTTTATTGGTGGAGCCAGTTGTAGGTGGGATTATAACACTATAAAAACAAGCCTCTTGACCGGAGCTGTGATTGTGGAGAGGCTCTTGTTTGTGTTGTGTCAAAATTCTTAATCTTCATGGAGCTCAGCGAGCATAAGCCTTCTCTTGAGAAACTGCAGAAACAACAACAATAGAACCTCAATAACACTAACAAGGGGGAAAAGAGAATGATAAATCCCTCTCCTCCTTTAATTAATAGAATTATGGTAGGATCCTCTTGAGACTTGGCCCTATTGTGCTAAGGTACTGCAGGGAGTGAAACCTAATGCCTGCACCTAAAGGCAGTGCAATGTTGGTGCAGGTGTGGGGAATGGGTGAGCCCCCCACCATGACAACACCTAGAATTAAGACTTGGTTTGTTCTGGACCTACTCCACAGAAATCCATAATATGCAACTCAGCCAGAAGCAGAATGTGTAAGGATAATGCAAGAACCATAACATAAAAGCTGTGCTAACTGGAGACCACTGAATGTACAACTAGGCATGGTGCTACTGGTGTGGGGATAATCCTGGCTGTTCAATACACTTTTAAGTCTTTAGTAGTAATTAGTCCTGGGCTGTGGATTTTCTAATATGGCTATGTAATTTTAAACTATTTTGATCCTATGCACGTGGGAGAAAGGCTAGGCTTGTCTCATTGCACAGATGCACTCTAACAGGCAGCAAAGACAAAGTCATTTTTTGTTGATTATGTTCTGCAAGATGTTGGAAATTCTTTTACCGTTTTCACCAAATGTATAAACTTTGGAAGGACCAAAAATTGCCTAGAGTTGTGCTATGCACTATCAACAGTGGAGAGTCTACTTTCTAGCAAGACTGTATAGGCAAGCCTCCATTCTGTGTAAACCCCCAGAACTAGTAAAAAACTTCACAGGGCAAGCTATGCAGGTGTACATTTTTGTCTATGTATTATCCTATCAATTACTGCTCCCTGGATCCAAAACAGTCATAGTCTCCTTCATCAAGAACGACCTGCTACCCAGATGTCTCATTCACTGAGGTCTTCTAGCAACACAGAAGTTTCCTTACCCAACAAGCTAATCCCCAAGGAACACAAAGATCTACACTACACAATGCCTACTGCCACAAAATGTAGGCAAGAGTCCACAAGGAGCTGGGGAACAGCCAGTACAAGTGCATGATCCACCCTGGAGTAAAGGACCAGAGGCTCAAAAGACGCTATGTTCCAGGTGCTCTGCCTCAAATTTGCCTGTGTCCATGAGCGTCTCCTTCAAATGTCAGCCTGAGTTATTCAGGAAGGCCTAGTAAGAATCC